ATCTTAGTTTCACCTTTTAAGTTGCGTTACTGAAATAAAAAAAACTTTTGCATGATATTCTAATTTTTCGAGTTTCACCTGTATAGTGTAACTCCACCTCCTCTTTTATTTGGTCCATTTCTTTTAAATAACTTAAATCCCTCTAACTGTATGTACCAGTTGTGGGTTTCATCCCACCAAGTTTCTGTAATGGCAACAATATTGTATCTTTCCTCATTTACTTGAATTTCTAATTTGCCCTGTTTAGTCCTCAAACTTTGTGCATTGTTGTATAGACATTTGAGTCCATTTTGATTGACCCTGTGTTTACTGTCTACATAACCCATGTTATGCCTGACTGCCCCTATTTTCTTGCCACTTGTATGATTCATGCACATGGTATGGCACTCAAATGCTTGGTTTTGCTTGACAGCAGGAGTGATACTCTTACCTGCACAAACATGCAAATGAGAGAATGTAAAAGGAAAGATCCGATCAACACTTTGTTTCTATAATATATGTAAAGTTGTATTAAAAATAAAAAAAACTTTGGAAATAAAAAAGTCTAATATGTTGGACCTCTCTGAATTGTGAAGTGATCAACCACATCAGATGGTTCCTAAAATTAAACTTAAATTGTGGAACTAAAATTCTTGTGTTTTAGTGAAATTTGAATTGGGAACCATGCCCGGTGATAAAGAGAAAATTTTTAGTTTCAGAGTTAAATATACCTGATTCCTCAGATCGCCACCAAGAGATGGAACTAGCTTCTGAAATAAAAACCTATCTTCTCAAGATGGTCATTATGTGATGATAGAAGACATAATGTCTCATTTGTACCCTTAACAAAAATACTCCAATTTCTGAAGGTCTCCTTTCTTTCAGATTCTTCCATATTTGAGGAATGTGCAGTTCAACAACAGTGCTGGAGAGGAAGTCTCCTTCTCAGGAGATGGACTGGGATCTGCTCGTTATGATCTTCTCAACTGGGTTCTCCTCCCCAATCAATCTTTTATCCCCATGAAAGTTGGGCAAGTAAATCCTGAGGCTCCCCCAGGCCAGGATTTCACAATTAAACCTGATGGAATCATCTGGGCCACAAAAGTGAGCTGAAAGGAAGTGTTGTAAGTTCAGGGAAAGATTCATTCTCTTCTAGAAACGCAGAACATCTTTCTAAGCTGAAAAATAATCAATTGAGTCAGAAATCATGACAGTCATTTGGTGAAAAATCCGCTTTGCATGTAACACATTTTTGGATTGGTTAGTGTCCTTCCACAAAGGCTTGGGAACATCATTTGCTTGAAATGCAGGATGTACAGCAGGCAACAGTGATTTCCATGGACAGTTGTCACTCAGTTGTATCCTCACAGTTTGTTCTTTAAGAAATACTCTTGTCCCATCACAAGACTTCCTCTGCAGGCTGAGATTCCAGATCCAATCTCCCACATCCACGGGTGTGTCAGGAATGCCCCTGGCTTGAGTCCCTCAAGAATGTTCTTGATTTCTTGAGATGGTGGCAATTTATTTCTTGAGATGGTGGCAATATATTTCTTTAGAAGAGATTCTGAACATAGAAGTAGCAATTAGGAAGGGAAATAGGAATAGGGAAAATAATGAATGCAGCAGGTTCATTGCTTAGTTCATCTCAAGTATTTCTCTCTTCTCTGTTCAGAAAGTGCCCTTTGCCAGGTGTGGCATGAAGAAGTGCCATGCAGGAGAGAGGAGAAGAGTTCCAGAGGGCCAGCAGGTTTGCTGCTACCAATGTGATGCTTGTCCAGAAGAAACCTTTTCTAATCAGACAGGTAGACCAGACTTCAAGTGTTAATCTTCCAGGATCAAATAAGTCATTTGTTGTCATTGTTGTCATCTTTTATGATATAGACAGAAAATCATATTTTCCAGCAAAACCTTTGTTTTTACAGATATAAACTGCCCTCTCCACAGAGGCCACCTTTCCCGATCCTCAGCAGTTTCAAGCAGGATAGATTTAGGGCAGAATTTATGAATGTCCAACTAGAAATTCTACTGCTACTTTAACATCCAATTGCAAAAACTGCCTTCCAATATTTCCTGAGGAAGTGGGGTTTGTGCTCCAAGCTTTCATTTTTATTATTTAGAATATGCTCCTTCCATCAGCACTATCAGCACTCTGAGGAAATAGATCTGCAGGGAAAGAGGACATTCTTCTATCTATGCCTCTTTGATAGAACAGGAGGAGGCCAAAAACATCTGAATGAACAGTTTTGAAGTACAAAGCAGTGTGTCAGGCCTGGAAGCCATCTTTTATATTTGGCCTTCAAGCCTTCCAAATATTCCACTGTGGGAAACTGGGAGGGAAGATTGCATGGTGCATGGGAGATATATAGTCAGAATAAGATTCTTTCTCATAGAGTCAAGGTCATCTTGTACCTGCACCTGGGAGGAAACCTCTCTTGGGATAGAGTCTGATTGGACCATGTGATGGACATGTGGGTGCTGGGCAAGGAACCTGAGTGTGGAAAACCTGGAAACCTTCACATTTGGGGTTTTTCAGATGTGCCAATATGACATTTCTAATAAATTAGAACTTGGACGAAACTCGGGCCTCTGAGTTTTATTTCATTGGGGGTATTACATGGAACCCTTATACAGAGAGGTTAAGGCAAAGATAACATACACACAAACAAAACAGAAGCATTCCTGGATAACAGATCTGTCATTCTTCTTAGTGTTCCATTATAAAATGGGAAAAAAAGAGGCAGGCGCCTCAGACTGAAAGCCATATTACTCGTGGAGGTCCACAGTGAATGGATAGCTGGAACTGAACAAAACCTTGTTTCTGGCTAATCTGTCTCCTTGACCATCATTAAGGAAGGATGATTTGCTCTTTTCAATGCCCCATAAATTGCACATGGGTTTTTTCACCATTCCCTTTGTGGGTAGAACAACAACAGAAAGTTAATACCTGAATCACCTTTGGGTTGGGGATAATGTGTATGGTAGTTGATCAAGAAATCCTTAGACACTTTTTTTCCAGATGCGGCTCAATGTGAACCTTGCCCAGAAGACCAATATCCCAACAAGGACAAGGACCACTGCATTGCCAAGAAGATCCACTTCCTTGCCTATCAAGACACACTGGGATACACTTTAGCTATTCTTGCTGTCTTTTTCTCTGTGATCACTTCT